TAGGCCATTCAGCCCAACCCACTATTCAACATTATCATGGCTGATCCTCTGTTCTTAACACCATACTCCTGCTCACTCCCTATAGCTTTTCATATCATTAGTTTCAAAAAAAAATCTACTTTGTTATTAAATATGTTCAGTGATTTGGCATCCACAGCAGTCTGTGGTAAAGAATTCCACAGGGTCAACACTCAGTAGGTGAAAAAATGTCTCCTCATCTCAATCCAAAACGGCCTGCTCATATCCTCTTCTAGAGCCCCTGGCCGAGGCAAACATCAAACCCACATCCAGTCTGTCCATCTCCATCAGAATTTTATTCATTTCAATGTGATCCCCTTTCATTCTCCTAAACTCCAAATGAATACAGGCCCATTTGACCCAATCAGTCCTCATAAGACAAACTGCCATCCGAGGAATCACCCTGGTGAACATGCACTGCACTCCTTTTCTTAGGTAAGGAGACCAAAATTGAACACAATACCCTAAGTGTCTTCTGACAAAACATCTGTACATCTGCTGTAAGACTTCCTTGCATCTTCACTCAAACCCTGTTGCAATGAACTTTTCCCATTTAACATGCAGTGTAACCAAAAGATTTCCCACTCCACAACTCACTGTCCCTTTAATCCCCTGCAGAATCAATCTAAAATGAGTCTGTCTTCTCAAGGGTTTACTTCCATTCTTTTTCTTTCCCAGCCTGTTAGCTATTTAACCCAGAAGTGTCTTTTAAAGCCAGGATTTTTCTGGAGTTTCTCCCTCTAACTCAACCGAGAATGGAAATTTACTTCACCTCATTGGAAACTTAATTTAAAAGGAAACATTGCAGCAGCGACAAGAGAGACAGGAATGAACTCTTGGAGGTGAAGAGAAGAAAACATTCTTGAAAATGCATTTACTACATTTTTCAAGAAGTGGTTAGGTATGGCTTTTAGGGCTAAAGGGATGAAAGGCTATGGGGCGAAGTGGGAACAGGGCACTGTCTAGGATGATCATCCATGACCATATTGAATAGTGGAGCAGGCTTGAAGGGCTGAATAGCTTACTCCTACTCCTATTCCTATTCTCTATGTTTCTATGACTGATTGGCAAGGAATCATGTGAGCACAGTTTTGCGATGGCAGGTCACAGAGGATACATGATGAAGATGGTGAGTTTCTTTTGTTTTTCAAGGTAGGTGGCAGCGTTATTTTGGCTATTCCAGGGTGACATCCATACTGTCAGAGTTGAATAATCACACTGTCTTCAAAATATCGCAATAAAATGCATGGTAAAATCTTCATTTCTGTTTTCATTAGATCCAAGAAAAAAACATGTCATGTGCACCAGGTTACCCTTGACAGTGTGTATTGTTGGACTACACGTTATTATAAACATTTTCAAAGCTCTCGACACCACCGTTTTACCTTGGGTTTGATCAATTTAAAAATCCAAGAAAATCATTAAACTGATTAAAGGAGACATTCATCTGCAGCTCATTTGTGTTGGGGCACTGTTACTGAATAAAAGCCATAGAAAGCCAATGGAATGTTAAGCTATACATTTTAGTAATATTTAGAAAACTACAGGATTATCTTGTTGCATCAATTAATTGCCTCTCTGATAAGCATTCTTTCTCATGCGACAGAATTTTAAAAGGAAAGTAAGCATAGTTAATTCCTGAAAAAGGACATGCATGCTGAAACTCATTGGAGTTTCATTACTTCTCATCAGTAAATTGTAAAAGTTTTGATTTTCTAATCTCTATATTGATAAAACAATTGATGAATTAAGATTAGCGCAACCACACTGCACACCAGAATGGACTATAAAGTTAGCTTCAGCATCTCAAACAGTTACCATCACCTCACAACTGATTAAGTAAAAAAAACTCAGTAAATAGGTGGAGTGGGACCTCGTCACAGTTATTTGCCAGAAGAGACTTTCTTTTAAAAGCAAGGCATCTATGAAACCTAATGTTTGCATTTTCTATCATTTACTTGACAAAATAATCCAGTACAGAAACATCATACCAAAACTGCTGAAGTCATGTCAAAAACATGGTAATATTTTGTTTTGAAAGATTAAACTGTTCTATTAAAACAAGTATGGATAATGGTGGCCATTTCCAGTTCATGCATTGCTATTTGCTATCTACAGAAAGCATTCCCAAATCAGCAAATCTCTACACTAACAGTTGTACAAAAGAAAGGACTAACTGAAGAGAAACGCAGTTCTAATAAGTTCAGTAGGACTGTATGAAAGTAAGTGGGTGAAGGACTGCATGCTTTTGTATTTGAACAGCATTTCTACTCAATACGACGTCTCTAACATGTCTACATTCCTCAGCAATGCAAACATATCTAATACAATTAAGAGGGTAAAACAAGAGCATGCACATCTTACCTTGATGAACTAATAATTTGATATTTTAAGAGGAAATGAATGGGAGAAAGAGCTAGTATTAGATCAAGTTATTTTGATGGCAGATTCCATTAGTAAAATGTTAGTATGTAGCTTTTCTCAGAAAAAAAAAACTTGTAATTTCTAGCTTTCCAGCCAGTAAGCACCAAATAGCTTTTCACAAACTTGTGGCACCACCAAAGCTGTGCAAAGCAGCAAATGAGAAAAGTACTTCAGATGTTTTGTCTTCCCTTCAGCAGGCTGGGATGAATGATATCAGGGTTTTTGTGTTGCAAGGAAACAAGAAGTTAAATGAAAAGCACAAAGACATTTGTGCACTCTCCTCTTCCCAACTATTACTAACCAATGTCATTCATAATATGATCATCCGAAGACCGCTTCAGTTGAGGTACAATAAACCCACTGCATGTTCTGTTTCCAAAATAGTCACATGGAGGATTTTAAAAAGTAGACTTTTATTCACTTTTTCCCTGTTCTGTTTAATTGACCAATAAAGGATTGAAACATTTCATCTACAATATGGTTTAAATATTCACCGAAACCAATCGGTTTCCATCCCAGCATGTAACTACAGGTCGTCTGCCACCAATTTCATTTAAAGTTGGGTAGGTGGATGACAAAAAAAGAGTTATATTTATTGCAAACTATTGATATAATATAATTGATACTTTCAATTTGACGAGAAAGTTAATGACAAGTTTAAGAGCTGGGGTGGTGATATACATTAAAGCTTCCGTCGCATTCCTCAACTCACTGAACTGCTGATGCATGAGACAGAGCTAATAAAAGGCACGGATTCCTCTCTCATGGCCATTGCTGTAGATAGGATTCTTCTAAACTAAGAAGCGGTTGAACTTTCAGCCTAAACAAACAATGAGATCGCTTTCCTATAACAGCATTTTCTAAGAGTTTAGAACCAATGAAAGCAACTCATCATATGCCCACTGAGCATCTGTTATAGTCATCAGTTACACTGTACCATCCAATTTGCAATTTTATTTGAACATCGTTACAATGTGTTGAGAAAACTGTATAATTTTCTCCTAGCTGCATATTGCAGGGAAGATGATTTCTCAGTCAACAGGGTCTTGGTAATGGTCCTGTGATTTCCATTTACAACTTCTTTAGGCGCATCTTTTGTTTCTTTATTTTCCATTGCAAAAGGTCCTGGGTTGTAGTGGGTCACATCCTGCCTCTAAGCCAGAAGCTCCAGGTTCAAGTCCCACTTGACAGCCAATGAACGTGCATTCATAATGCAGCTTGTGCAGACAGACTGTCACCCATATTTTCTTCCAACACATGCCAATGGCAGGAAGTAAAAGCATGAGAAATATCTGGTCAACCATGTGAAGAAAGGAAATTAGGGTCTCAACCATCATGGGTCCTGATCACAGCATGAACATAAAAGTTCAGGTTACCACGTCCATTCCGACTCCTTAGGGAACCGGTTGATTCAGTTGGTCAAACAACTGCTGTGAATCAGATCGGTGCCAGCACCGCAGAGTTCGATCCCTAATCAGATTGGGGTGGATTTGGGACCTGTCTCTTTGTCCTACCCACTGTGGAGGTCACAATGTTGTCAGTCAGATCGAGATTTGGGCAGAGAACCGAAGATGATGTCCACAAATACCCTGCTTTTACCTTGCATCATCACCCCTTTTCTCATTTAAGTACCGCTGAACTCTGTCCTTAGACAGAACTCCCCATCACTCCCAGCCCCAACTCTTGGCTGTATTTTTTTTTTCCTGGCTCTGGAATTGCTTTTTAACAATTAAATCTGCAGTGTTTTTCACTTCTTATGAAAAATCATCAATTTGAAATGTTAACCCTATGTCTCTCACAACAGATGCTGCATGACTTGCTGACTCTTTCCAGCATTTCGTCAAGTACTTGGCAGCCATGGATATTAGTACCTTATTGCACTGATGAAGGCTGTCTGGCCTATTCATGCCTGCTCTTAAAAAATACTCTTTTTCAGGTATACACATGACTCTTTTCAAAGTTACTCTTGAATCTGCTTCCACCACCCATTCAGGCAGTGCATTTCAGATCAGAGCGGCTCACTTTGTAGAAGGTTTCTCATCTTCCCTCAGGTTCTTTTGCTAATTATCCTAAATCTGCAATTTCCAGTTATCAAGAACACACTGATGTTCAAAAAATACTTCCATCTGCAATGCTCACAGTAAAATAAGCATATAGAAAATTTCAAAAAAAGTGATCTTCTTATTGATAAATTATGTGCGAAAACACCTTATTTCCTCTTATTTTCCAATGTACAGCAGACATATCCTGGAGAAAGAAACCATCGACTAACTGTTAAGAAAAAGGTAAGGAGAACACATTAAAATGCTCCTGAAGTTACAGCATTCTTACTTTTAAATCTTTTTAAAAAATCACCAAGACAGGAAAGCAGAAAAACATTTATATGCTGGAAACAGGACAACATTTGCTAACAAGAGTGTAATTTCACAAATTACCCTGTCAGAAGGAAGTGTGTATATATACAATAAACAGAAATAAACTGAAATAAACTGAAATAAACTGAAATTTTGCCGATAGGCCATTGGAATGGGAAGGTTTAAAAGCATTCTGGTACTTACTCTGAAGAATCTATGAAGTATATTACAAGAGCACCAATGCTGAGAGCAAAAACCAAGACCACCTGAAAATGTGAGAAAGAAACAAATTTAAGTGAAGAATTTAACAAAAGCAAATTGAACTACTAATCAATATTAACAGTATCTACACAATAATGCTGGCTAAATTCAATGTTTGACTGAGGTGTGTTGTTGTGTCTTTAAATATTTTTTCTCTTATACTTCACATAATAATACATCCATCAATTTCTGGGCTCATAATTCTATGTTCCACTTCAGTAATAGTCAAAAAACTTTATGTTGGCATTGATAGTTAGGTCAGCATGTATTTCCCATCCCCAACAGCCCTTGAGCGGGAGATAGTGAGGTGCCTTCTTGAACAGTTACAGTCCAGGTTGAGTTAGAACACCTGCAATGCTGTCAGAAAGGGAGTTACAGGATTTTGACCTAGTGACAGTGAAGGAATTGTGATATAGTTCCAAACGAGGATGGTGAGTGGCTCAGAAGAGACTTTCTAACCAGTGGTGCTCCGATCTATTGGCTGCCCTTTTCCTTCTAGGTGGTAGAGGTCACAGGTTTATAAGGTGAATTATGTTGCATGACAAAATTGTGGACAAACTTTTAGGTTGGTTAGTTGTTGAGATTGTCAAATTTGATGTAAAACCAATTACTCGGTAACAATAAAACTTTATTAGATACATTTTTTGACTTAATTTTGGAACAGCACAACCTAACTAGTCAACACTACTGATACTATGACAGCCAACGCCAGATCAGTGGTTGGGTTGAATGGTCTAAAGTCAAGCAATATTATCCTTCCATTCAACTGAACAGCTCTGATGGTGGATCTATACTCAAATCTGCTTCTTCTTCTCAAATATTACTTCAGTACCTGTGCAGCTGTTGTTTTGTGTTATAAATCACATACTCATACAACGTATAAGTAAGCCACTGTGTCTCTGCAGGGTTTTGGAACAGCTACCTAGTTGTTTTATTTTAGGAAAGTAGGATAAAAAGTTCTGATGAAGAGTCACCAGGCGTGAAATGTTAATTTTGCATGCTGCCAGACCTGCTGAGCTTCTCCAGCAATTTCTGCTTTTATTTCAGAATCCCATTTCCCTTTCTTTTCCTATAGACATGCAAATATTTCCTTTGCAAGTATATACAAGTTTTTTTTATTAATTGGCTCTATGGGACAGCAGTGTGCTGGTTGGTCAAACATTCCAGATAATCAAGAGGTACGCATAAACCACAGTACCCTGAACAAGCGAAATTTCAATCAACATCCCTCAAAAAAGCTATGTAAAAACATTAACATACCTGCTAAAATTAATGTAAAAACACATAGTAAACAGTAGAAACATAATGCAGAGTGTATACATATCACTGTTACACTTTATTTACAGTATAAATACTTGGACATCGCGGTATGGGAGGTATATAATTTTTTGCCGGGTTATCAAGACTGCTCGTGATTAAGGTGCCAGTTAAAACAAAGTTTGCTGTATCTGATTTTCTTTACTGTTGAACCTACTTCCACCATCCTTGCAAGCTATGCATTCCAGTAAATAACTTGCATCTTTGTCTTCTCATTACCAAACCTCCTGCCAATGGAAACATCTTCTCACTACCTACTCTATAAACTTATTTTCATGTGGAATTTTGAAACCTGCCTTTAATCTTCTCTGCTGTAAGTAGAGCAACCCAAGTTGTCTAATTTTCTTACTTCATTCAAGTTCCTCAGTCCTGGTATTGTTCTGGTAAATCTCCTCCCCATTTTCTCAAAGGTCTTCATATCCTAAATAGAAGACCATAAGCACTCCAGCTTCACAGCTTTGTGTTATGAGGAGAGATTTGCTGAACTCGACATTTTCCTGGAGAAAAGCATGGGAAGGGTGTATGATTCAGGTCTTTAACTTGCAGAGTTATGCAAATGCATGCAGATTATATAACTCTGAATGTTAATGCACAGCTAAAGAATATATGTTCCACATGGTAAGCCTGAAGTGAGTATTTTCTTGTTGAGCAGTCACCATGGGACGCCCCAGGCCCAAAAAAAAAATTGGACTCTAGAGATCACTAGTTCATGACACACTTGGACCAATAGCCACTGAACTCCAAGGAAAACTGGGACTTCTACCCCCGGAGTGTAGGCGGTTAAAAGGTGACCTTATAGAGGTTTATAAAATCATGAGAGACACAGATTAGGGAAAAGACCTTTGCTCTTCACCTTGAACAGTGGAGTTCAAAACTAGGGGGCATATTTTAAGGTGAGAGGAGGAAGACTTAAAAGGGACCTGAGGGGGAACTTTTTCACACAGAAGGTGATTCATGTATGGAACAAAATACCAAAGGATATGTAGATGTAGGTATGGTTACAACGTTTAAAAGATATTTGGATAGGTACATGAATAGGAAAGGTTTGGAGGCATTTGAATCGAACACAGGCAAGTCAGACTAGTTTAGTTTTGGAAACTTGGTCAGCATGGTCGAGTTGGAGCCAAGTGTCTATATGACTCTCTAACAGGCATGCCACGTATAGCTAGTAGCAGAAACACCAGTTGTTATGACTTAACACATAGTTCAAAGAAAGTATAATTACAATTAAAAACAAAATAATTAATCAGCGACTTAGCAGTCAGTCTATTTCAGCTGTTGACACCAGGAGCATGTAAAATATTGTGTACATGCTTTTGCTGCATGAACAAAATTGCATTATCAGCATGACCAGAAATGACACATTTTTGATGCACAGTTCCTACACCATTTTCTCAAAAGGAGTCTAACTCCAAGGAAATCAAGTTGGCTTTTCATAACTTAAATTAGCCCAAAATCAGAAATAAATTTAGATCAGAGTGTGAGGCTCTTTAGGGCTATCTGAAGCATTAAAAACATATAATGCATCTTTACAAAGATGGAAAAATGGTGCCTGGCCTTTTTCACAATGATTAGAGTCTCCATTCCTCCCACTTTTTCATAACCATCCATGATACTGAAAGAATAATTTTTTGTGTAAACAAATTAATACTTAATTTTTCCATTATTTACCTCATTTTTGCATTAATTTTTATATCCCAGTTCTGCAAATTAGAAAGTGGTGAACTGGCCACCTCTCTAGGCCAAGCAATATAAGGTTTCAAGGTAGACTCAGATGTTTACAGCACAGAAGAAATCCATTTGGCCCATTATGTCCACACTAGTCTACAAAGATTTGACTACACTATTCCTATTTTCCCACTGTTGGCTAATTATTCTGGAGGCAATGGGAACATAAATGAATATCTAAATACTGCTTTAATATTACAAGAGTTTCTGACTCAACTAACCTTTCAGGCAGTGAATTCCTGACTTCCACCACGCTATGGGTGAAAAGCTTTCCCTCAACCCTCTTCTTAGCCCTCTTTCTTTTACCTTAAATCTATGCCCCTGGTTATTGATCCCTCTACAAATGGAAAGAGGGGTCCACTTATCTATGACTCTCATCGTCTTATACATCCTATCACATCTACAGCTGGCTAGTAAGAGGAAGAATCAGAGCAAACTCTCAGCAAAAAGAAAAATTACACATTCAACTTCCACAATGCGTTTTGAGTCTTTGCTTTTCTAACTGAACCTAAATTTGGAGTTATGATTGCATTAATATATAGTCACTCATTTTATATCCGCATACATGCATATCTACACATTTAAGTATACATACATAAAACATACAAAAATAAAAATAGAGTTCTCACTCCTTCAGTTCTTAGGCAGTCTCTCAGGATTAAGACAGTTGTTTTCAGTCTGCTTGTTGATTTTTAAGATGGCTTTTAAGTCCAATGCGGGGGCAGGTGGTGCTTCAAGCACAAGATACATACACATGGATACATATGAATATATAAAACACATTTTATAATACAATTATGTGTATGCAGCTACATATTCTGACAGAATGTACATTTGTAACCAGTGGAAAGAATAAGAAAAAGCCCTAAAATTTTAAGTCAGCATGATGAGATCTGCATGAAATTTATATCAAAGAAAATGAGGATCCCATCCTTGTTGGTTACCCTTTATATTGTTATTAGCTAGCCACAGGCCCAGAATCCCCAGGTAATGCAATGGCTTCTTAATCAAATTGTTGGCAAATTACAATACAACCATAAAATGAGTTAAAAGACCAACTGTCTTTATCACCAATAACTAGCACATTTTACAAATGACTTATTTTCAACGATAAAAGATCATAAGTTTAAATTTAACATTCACTGTAAGGCTGTCAAATATTGTAATGGAAGGTGTATTTTAAAACAGAACTTTATATATGAAGTGCAAGTCCCAAAATACAAGTAGAAAGATTTAGGCCAGTTCTGTGAAACGATTTATTTTAAACAGGTCAGAAAGTCATTTGGAACAGTGCATTAATTCCAATAAATCATGTGACCGCAGTCAAGCATCTGGCAGAATCTCTGTGGTGTTAAGGGATAGAATGTTTATATATTATGTATTGTAATGGTCGTACTGCTGAGTGTATTGACAGACAAGAAAACCATTAGCTCTGTTGTTTTGAGCTCAGTTCAGATGATTCAGGAGTTCAATTCATAAGGTAGGGAGCAGCTTCTCTCAGCAGGAGAATCAAGCTTTTCATTCAGGGGAACCGGCACCCCCAGTCAAAGGGTTTCCGTTTGTTCAGCTTTTAAACCAAGAGAGTTTGGAAAGAAATCTACAACTTGCTAGAACTGAAAAAGTTTAGGCCCTCAGAATCATAAAAGTTTCAGGCCAGTGGATTTGGAAAGGAATCATTAGATTTCTCTGGAATCCAAAATAAAGAAAACGGGAGGAATCAATTAAGTAAAACCTTTAAAATGTTGAGGTAAGAATGAAGATTCTCTGGAATTGAGCAACTGTAAAGGAGGGTGATGGATACTCCCCTCTTCTTGGATGACTGTAGCTCCAACAACAAATCAACAAGTTCAATATCATCCAGGAGAAAGCAGCCTGGCTCATCGGCACCACATCCACAAACATTCATTCCCTCCACCATTGACACTTAACAGCAGCAATGCGTACCATCTACAAGATGCGC